CTCAGTTGAAGTCTTGTCTGCCACTTGGGGGCAGTATAGAGCTAGAAAACAGTTTCGTGAGCCCGCGGGGGTGTGGGGGGGGCACCCTCTATTATAAAATGGAAATTTAGAGGTAGTTCAATATTTGCATTCACCCTCATCCTGTTGAACTGGTTTAAAGTCTGTATTTTACCAATGCAAATAGAATGCAAATATGATTCTGCTGGAAAGCACATACCCGGAGGCTAAAAATAAAGCCTTAAATAAAACGATGATAGCTGAGCAGAATGAGAAATGGGATCAGAATATGTTTTTTTCTTCTTCTGTATTTCTGCAATACTATTTCTGAGACACACAGCAGTAAAAAAAACCACTCACATACACCCAGCCAAATGACATGATACAGGAGCTGTAGAGAATCCGATCTACAATATACAGATAAATTACTTTGGATGTGGTACTTGGGTGAATTGAGGTACTGATTACCCAGGCCCTCCAACTGCATTAGACCTGTAACATTTGTAGACTACTACAGCTTTTGTAATTACTTCCAGATATATCTTTTTAAGATATATTTTAAATAACAGTACTTAATGACACAATAAAGACTAACAAGTACAAATTTTGTTCCACAGTCCAAAATATAATGTTCTCTCAAAAAATATTATGAAGTCAATTTATTTTGAAAATGATTCTAAGCACAGTGATCTTTCTATCTTTGAAACATTATTTCTTAAATACCTATAAGAATATGCTGATTTTGCAAATTATAACACATAAATTAATATTCTTCAATAAGCCCAGTGAAGCAAGAACATATAAATGTAAGGATCTGAATATGAGAAGAAAAAAAATAACTGTGTCAGAAGAGTCCAAAATTCTTAGTTTTAATGCCAGTGCAAAAGCCTGCTCACCATCCATCCACCCATCAACCCATCCACCCTTCCAGCCATTGTATTACACAAGGGGACCACAGTATGATGGGTGAAAGACAGCACACACCCTGCACAGATCGTCAGTGTCAGCACATTAGTAAATAAACTTGATTCAGTGCCCTTAGGTAGAAAACCAACCTTACACACCTCATAAACCTTGGCAGTTGCACGTTTAATGATTTTTTTTTTTTTGATTTTGCAGAAAAATATAGTGTTTTATGGCTTCCCATTTTTCTACCTATAGGGAAAACCGAGTTTGCATGGACAAATATCTGGTCAATTGTTGAAATAAAGTTATTATAAATTGAAAACCTTCACAATTTATATGTTTAGCTGAACTCTTAATCTTCAGCTTCAGCTTCATTTAGCTGGGCATACATAAAAAATGTCTACTTCACTTAAATTTGAGTTCAGGACTGATTTGTTAATAATATTTGTTTAATATTTGAATATCTGAATATACACATTGTTTTGTAATGCCAATAACATCTTCAAACCCTGGTACTGGGAGAATACAAGAATATTTTGGTATTAGTTAATTAACAAAACAAACAACGACAAACTTCTTTAAAACAACCCACATATCTTGCATCATCCTGGCTATGTGCCCTGAGATAAGTGAACACAGGGATAACTATTCAAAGACTAACACACTATTATTTACTCAAGGATGTGCAGATTTGAAAGACAGTGGCAGCCAGTGAAAACATTTCTGCCACATAAAATAACATGAACTGCAGTGGAGGTCATCGATAATGTCTCAGGTCTGAAAAAACACTCTGGTTTACCTTTGTTTTCAGTCACGGCTTTTAACTTGAAGTCTGTCAGCCAGTCATCAGTGACTTGCAACCGTTGGCCAAATGACATCCCGGAATATGAGCCAAAGGTGTCCGGTTGCTCTACTAAGGATGACTATCAGCTGCTGATCAGCTTGTCTGTTGAAAAACACACCAATCCAAGAGACCAGGACTCATTTTAGCAAATTTATTACCATAACGAATGTCGGATTACTTGATAAACTAAGTATTATTATTTATTATAAGAATGTTTATTTGTGTTTTAGATAGACAGTTTTAAAAAAAAATAGTAAGTAGAAGCTCGTGTATATGTCACCTTTCAATATAAATATAACAAAGTGCTTCACAACGTAAATGATAGAACATGAAAACAAAAGTTTAAAAAGATACATTTTAGCTGCTTTTTAAAAGAGTCCACAGTTCAGTGGGAGAGGGTTCCAGAGTCTGTGGGGGACTGCTGCAACAGCTCTATCTCCTTTAGTTCTTGGTCTTATATGAAGCCCAGCTACCAAGCCCTGATCACATGACCTCAAGGACCTGGTGGTAATCTATGGCTGTAAAGATTCACTGACGTATGCCAGTGCTTGTCCATGCAGCTCTCCAAAAGTCACAAGCAGAATCCTAGAGCAGACAGGAAGCCAGTGGAACTGAATTATCAATGGTGTGGCATGTGAGTACTCATAAGACTTAGTCAGATGCCTCGCAGCGGCATTCTGAATAACCTGCAAACATTCAAAGGAAACTTTGTTAAGACAAGTGAGCAGTGAATTACAATAATCCAGGCGTGACAAAATAAAGGCATAAGTAACATTTTCCAAATAAGGGGGTGACACGGTGAAACTCAACTTGGCAATACTTCTTAAGTGATAAAGGCAAGAGCAAACCAGAGACTTAACATGAGCATCCACAGTTAAAAAGTTACCCCAAGATTCCTGATAGAAGATTTACCAAAAGGGGCGAGGAGAGCTTTCACTACCTTAGGCACAAATCTGTCAGGGGCACAAACAAGGGCTTCATTTTTCAGGTAAAGCTGTCAGCCATTCAACTTTTCAAGTTGCTTAGTAGTCTAAGCACCCATGCAAGGTCTGTAATTTAGAAAACTCTTTGTGCATAACAGAGATATATAACCGAATGTCATCTGCATAGCATAGATAAAATGTCCTTAACAGTGGTAGACATATGCTGAAGAAAGCACAGTTATAACAGAAACAGTAAAGACCCCAAAACAGAACCTTATAGCTTGGAAGCAGCTACAGAGAAAGATTAACTTGACAGATTTGAAGACAGTCTCAGCAAAGCAGACCTCTATACACTCTCAGAAAGAATATTTTCAGTCCGCGTCCAAGTGTCAAAATGTTTCTCCCACTGAAAATGTAACGTCCAGATGAACAGAATCAACTTTGTGGAATTTCCTTTCTTGCATGATTGAGCATGCATAAGGACACCCCCATGCAACCATCCAGTATTTCAGCCTGTTACACATAATGTGATTGTCAGCAGTCTCAAAGGTAGAGCTCAGGTCGAACATCAGCAAGACAAAACACTATCCAGCACATGCATCAAAACAGCATTTGAGGGTACAAAAATAGCTGTTTTGTTTAATGAACTTTGAAGAAAGTCATAGTTTATCAGTGATGCTGCATTTCTCCACGACACAGTTAGATGTGCATTAAATTTGATGCACACCCCTTACATAAATATTGTGTTTTCATTGTTCAATGAAAATGATGACGATTGATAACTTGGAGAATACTTCCTGTGAGCAGTTTTAATGAGTATTTTGGGGGTTTACTGACTGAATTGCAAAATCCGATTATAAAAGGAGGAGACATGCTTGTTGCTACCAACAAAAATACAGAAGGTTTCTTAATAAGAATCCCGACTCCTGGAATAAATTAAAACCACACAGCTTGCCAGTGATGATAGAATAATTTCTAATGAGGGTAACGAGGGTAATGAGGGAATCCTACTCTTTTGTTTATGAGAGCATTTTTCCTGTAAGGAGGAGACTCATTGGGCAGATGGTTTTGGGGGATCTTAATGAGATACTTATTCATGTCTGATGTCAGAAATCCAAGAGCATGGGGGTGGGGATACCTCGCCGTGCTGGCAGGCAACGGCATTTACAGCAGACTGCAGTGACACTAGTGTTTTTGTTTTTTTGCTAGGGGTCTAGGGTCAATGAAAAAAACAAAACAAAACAAAACAAAAACAAACCCAAACCAAACAACAATTTGTTAGTTTATGTCAAAGAGTTTCTGTCTAACTTCCCCTTTGAGAAAACTGAATGCTATATGTGACTTTGGTGCCTGTTTCCTTTGAAGAATTACCAGATGAGCCAGAGTAAAGGCAGTAATGAATATTTTAGGGGCATCGTCACTCCGGAACAGAAATGAATAGCACATGTGAAACACACACCAGTCCTGTGTCTTCTATGTTACACAGGTCCAAGATGTGTGAAGCGTTGTACACTTAAATTACACAAAATGTGTTTCTGTGAATATTTTTAAGACCAAGATCAACTTGTGGTGTATGGAACAGTTGTAAGTATGTTTGATGTCAAATCACTTATATATCAAATAAATATCAAATATCAAACTGATCTTTATGAAGAAGTGACCCTGAATATGGCAAGTAAAGGGAAAAATATATAGCCCTTCATAAATTCAGTAAAACATATTTATAGTAAATCTATTTAAAAAGAATAAATCAATCTTAAAACAGTTACTGGTGAATGGTTTGTTACAATTTCTTTTGGTATTGGTTTTGATTTTGTTCATTTTATTAATCATATTATTGATGTATTTGTATCAGTAAAGACTTGCTAGTCGCACTGTGTATTTTTTTTTTCTCTCTCAAGAAGGTGTTGACAATAACTAATGAGAATTCGACAATTTGATAAAATAGGACCTATCTGAACTTACCACTGAGTGAACAATATACTTCCGCTTGTGAAGAATGTAGAAATTTTAAAGATAAAAATTTAAAGATGTTCGAAGATCATTTTATTTAAGGGCTACCACGACAATATAAACACATATGTATGTAGAACACTGTGTGTTTGTTGGGGTTTTCATGATATGAAATCAAGCATAAATTTAAAAGGTTCTTGAAGATGCAACAGAAAGCCAGGCTCTCTTCATTGTTATGGGGATCCAGTGTGAACCAGGCCGGCCGGCATCTGCTGGATGAGAGGGAAGGAGGGGGGCAGAGCAAGGGAGGGAGGGTGGAGATGCTGAGCTTGTTCACATAATAGCCGGCGGGTGAAGGCGTGGTAACTGTGGCTCGATACGAGGCGTGTGTGTGTGCTACAGTATCCTAGTACCGGAGGATGAACATGGACAGCGGCTGCACGGCGGCTCTCCTCCCTGGTAAAAGCGGCCGTGGAGAAAGCTGAACGAAGCTGATCAATATGCAGGGGAAGCCTCACGTTATCAATACCAAAAGCAGGATATAAGGAGTGCAAAGGTAAGGCGATATGTGGTGCGGTGGGGCAGATTGAACCAGCGTCAATGAGCTGTGAGGAGACAAAAGTAGACTGAGTCATGCCTGCATGTGATGTGAGGAGGGAGCATCAATGAAAATTACAACAGCATGGGTTTGGCTCTCAGCCGCGACCGGTGTGTTTCCTCAGTAAAATCGGGTGTAGTTTTTTCCCTTTTTTGACACATTAAGCTAATCATGGGGCTCAGGTGGAAACCACCCATGTACAGTAGCCTACAGTAGCACATTCATTGTTCTCCCTGCATAGAGGAAACTAGCCCCGGTGGGCTTGTCTCATTATTTGGTACTGTGGGCCCTATAGGCTGCTGATTGTAGAGGATAAGACGATATGAAATGAGATCGTTAGATGCATGTTTAAGTTTAAAAAAGTGATTTATTGGCCACTGGACTGAATGAATGCATCACGCAGAAGCCTATAGCACACTGATTTAGGGAGTGTGACTTGGTGAATAAAAAAAATCCTGGATGAATCATCATTTTACCCAGAACAGCAGCAAATCATGCTTGACCAAAGCAATTATCATTATTTGGTTTTCTCATGTATAATTATCTATTCTCCTGAACATGTGCTACAAGGAGAAAATTTAGCGTGGATTAACAAGGACAATAGACGGTTTGCTACAGTTTCATTTCAAGTATAAGCCGAGATATCTTCCTTGACGCCTCCATGTTACCTTCGAACTTTTTTCTTCTTTTGACTCGAACACTCTGGCTGGAAGACAAGTACAGCTAAACTTGACATTGACCTGCAGATGCTATGTCAGAGGTGAAGGAAGAGATGCGTGTATGGGCGTATTTAAAGCTTCAAGCAGTGTAAACAGGAATTGTTGTTGTAATGGTTGTGTCTGTATGACACACATGTCCAGCATGAAGCTTTGTTGCTTTTCCTATTTGCTGAAGAGGAAATCCTGTGTCATTTATCACCAAAGTTGGTGGGGTTTGTGCATTTTGAACAACGATTTGAAAGGTAAAAGTGTCATAAGATGCCTGGTAAAAACCAACCTGTTTTCTCACATCCTTCTAACTTGTTACTTAGTATGAGAGCCCAATGTGGATGAGATGCTCTTTTCTGCATTTAATGCTTCTAAAAATGTCTCAGCACTCAGTTGGCAGCCTTCCATTTAAGAATCATAGCCTCCTGAGACATCCTGAGAAATGTGCTAAAGACAAAGTGCGAGAGACCTATTTTTGGATGGGCCTTAATCTTATATTGATATGCTTAAGACAGATGGACCAAATTTGATAGATATAATATGGTAAAGTATAGAGCAGCAAAATGATACAGGTCAGCAGGTGAGGTTTTGGGACTTAGTTTGTCCTATGAATAAGTAAAGATGGATTAATAGATTTATAAACAAAAAAAATCTTCTCATTCTTGGCATACTGTGCCATTAATTTGAGATAAAGGTAACAAAACACAGTCTGATTGCAGCTCAGCCCACGTTGCTGTTATAAGGTGATCTTCAACGGGTTACTTTTTTATCCAGATCATTGAAAGTTGGTCATGTTCCATTTTCTCCACCCATGCATGTCTGTGCCTCTGTGTCACATTCCCGTGCTCTGCAGAAAGTCACTGCAGTAGTTTGCAAAAGAAAAGCTCTGCAGTTTGAGATACCAGTGTTGTCAGTGGGGACAGCCTCAAACGAGGGCAAATAAAGGAAACCTCACCAATGTTCACCGCTCACAAGCTAGTCTTTGCTTTTTCCGACAGTCTGTTATGATCTATCTTAAATGCAGAACTGAATTTCTGCATTCAGATTAGTTTTATGATATCTGTAACCTGAGTATGCAAACTATGATTAGGAAAAGTGTAGAGCTTTTCAAACCTTGTGGCAAACAAATGAATTTACAAGATAAAGGGCACAAACTAAAAACACTATCTCAAAATGGTAATATTGCTTCGTTATCTTCATTTGACATTTACATAGCAAGATATTTCAACAGACACTTGACAGATTGCATTTAAATGTAGGCTTTCTAATTATTTTGCTGGCCTTCTGATCTTTTCTCTGACACCTACATAAAGTAACGAGCTCAGATTTTAAGCCAGAAATATTCACACTCTTTTATTTCTAATGAAGCTCTTTTGATGTCTCTTGTCTATGTCTATGTGTCCCTGTAGTGCTTTTCTGCACTAATTTCCTGCATTCTGGTGAAATATTAGACACCAATATGTACCATTTCTGGATTATGTTATGATCCAAATGGTCTTATGTCTGTATAGAAAAATAATTTTGCTTATACTGCAGTATAACACTGATATTTGACCAGAAAGACAAATGAGATAATGTAGATTCATAAGCCTAAGCAGTGATACAGATGGCAGTATGTTTCTGTCCTAGTGTTTATTAGATAGACTGGTGCAGGCCTTCATACACCTATTAATATGAGTTGTTCACTTTGCTCCAGCTGTTTTTTTCTTTTATGAGCAAATACATGCAAAATAGTATTACATATGTATTCATATATATGCCTTTTTTATCTGCTTGTTTTGTATTGGTTAGTAAATCTGAGTATGGTACCTACTAGGCATCGGCTTATGGGATGTGTTTATTTAGGTGACTCTTTTAGTTCAGCTGCAAAGAGCTTTCAGAAAACGACTTGTACACTTATAGCTTTGTTAAAATACAACAAAAATATGTTTAATGCAGACGTATTAATATGTTCAATGATTGTTGTGTGGTTTCGGTTATGATTTCAAGCACATCGAGCTAGGTTTCAGTTATATTTTACTCATGCACCATCAATTGAAATGCAAATGCTGTCTCGTTTTGAAATTGTATAGCTTTTCTTCTTTTTAATAGACACAGTCGTAATTAGTCAAAATCAGTTCTTGCAATAGGAGATGGAACAAAATTTCAAACACTCTGAGCTCTGAAGAGCTTATGAAAGGACAGGACCCGAAACTAAGATTATCCTGGATGTTTAGTATGTTAGTTAGCTTTTCTGCTGGCAGCTTTACCCTGCTGCAAAGAATGCTGCTATACGAATGCCAATATATATATATATCACAGTCTCCTTCTGTAGATGTCCTTTATGGGTTGGAAATAGAAATTCATGCTGCATGATGACATCATTCACATGAATCTGTCCCCTGTGATGCAGCCCGTCCTTGTTGTATCAAAGACATGCTGTGTCATAAAAAATAAAATAGATATTTATCCCAGGTTTTAATAGATCCATAATATCATGAGTCCCATTGTTTTCTTGAATTTCCCAGATACCACAAACAGCCAGACAGGTTCTCTTTGTGAGAAGACGTACACAGATACCATTTGACCACTGACAGTATGAGTTATGGTGAGATATCAGATGAGGAGATAATCCTTTGCTGTATGCTTCGGCCCACTGCCTCTATAACCAGGGTTCACTGCTCTGTGCTTGGACCTCTTTTTTTTTTTGACTGATATAAATACTCATTAAAAATCCCGTCAGGTTTGTTTCTTTAGGAGCGTTCAGAGAATACTAAAACAAATGATTCCAGTGATGTATTTTTAATCATTTAATTTATCCATTTCTATTTCAGACAGTCTCTGAAGTCATCAAGGGTCATCAACAAGAGTACTTCACAGATTTAGTATTATATATAACACTATCATATAGCAACAGATAACTTCTTTCCCACTGACACCTACATAAGCCAACTGCTGGTTCTGTTAAAGATCCAAGTATGACATGCTGGCAGTGGGCTAAAGGAGCCCAGAGTAAAGACAAGAGGTGGGCTACAGATGTTTGGTCACTTCTATTTAACTCCCCCACCTCCCCTGCCCCCAGATTCTCTTCCCTTTCAGACTTGTAATCTTCAGTCCCAGACGATGCTGATTCAAGTCACATCAGTGGAAGACATTTATCCGACTTCACACACAGCTCTCTAGGCGTGACGTTTTTTTTTTCCTATATATGCCATAGCATTCCCCAAGTCCCGTAAATGGAGATTATCTGTAAAGTCAGTAGAGTTCTCAGCTGCAGAAAATGATCTGATACATCGTCATAGCATTACAGAGGAACTGTAATTGAATTCAAAACACTGAAGTTAGTGTGTTTCCCTTTGCCGCTACATTGTATTGAATGTCACATCCTTTTTGTAGCAACTTGAATTCACAGGCAGATTTCATTTTTGTTCCTTTAGGCTTCATGTGTCTGTACCTGTACCTGTAATTGTATTTTGGAGTTCATAAGTTTTTTTCCTTATGTTTATATGCAACACATATGAAGTAAAATAGTTTGGAAAAATGCACATAGAATAATAATTTCTGTCAATTTACAATCGTACCAGGTGGCTTCATGTAAACACAGACACTTGTGTGTGATACCAACCTTCATCAATAATGCATGAATACAGGAAACTAAGATAAGATGTGCTGGAGTCTGGACATGACATTTAACCAGTGTGCTGTATTAAATACTGACAGCCAGTTTACTCAGGAGACAGAGAAATTCTCCTGTTGGCTATTGTACAACTTTCAAGCTTGACATTTTCACTGTCGAGTATATAAGACAAAAATTAACAGCATTTATTTTCAGTTTCTCATTACCAGAAGGAGCTACATCTCATCATCTGAATGTCTTGCCGCAACATACATGGGTAGTCTTTGTTAACAGTTGTAGCAGCATATAAGATGGAGGCCACATCTGCACCATCTCCAAGTCTCTGCTGGGACATTTTATTGTAGCATGCATACATCTGAAAAGCTTGCCTTTATACCAACCTCAGGCTCCCATACTAAAGCAAAACCTGCAGCCTGGGGCACCATACTCAGCCAGTGCCTGTCCAGTCTCTAGAGAGACAAACAAAAAGACTGACAGTTCTTTGATGTCTGTCTGCCATGCCTATTTTTACACAACGGTTCAGTGCTTGTCTTAGCACCACGGGGTTCAAGGTTGCCCTTTTATTTGATTTTATTCACTGAATGGGTTACGTTTGGTTGACCTCATAGAGCTGTCCGCTGGTTCATAAAAATGTATACATTATAGCATGAAATGTCAGATGAAGGTTTGTGCATATAGTTATTTCATAGCCATTGGTTTGAAATCACAATCCTCGCTGTATCTCAGTTGTGTTTAATTCTTTGAAAAACTGAAGGGTTATCTGGGATTGCTGGGTCGGATTTAAATAACAGTTCTTGTACTGATTACAGCTTTCAGATGATTAATGGCGTAGATTCCTAAAAATAATCAATCCTCCACCCAGTCACTTCATTTATATTCCATAATAAGTGTATGCCATCCCAAATGAATATGACTCTCAGCTGCTCATCTAATAACTGCTCATAAAAATTCCTCCGTGAAGCATGGCTGTTTAAGAAGCTGTTTTCTACTTATAAACTTCTTTACATTAAGCCATGATATTTCTTGCACCCTCTAGTGGTCAGTGCCTTTGCTGTACATGTCAGCATACAGTAATGTCCTGCTTATTACAAAGTGCGTGACCCCCCCAGTATGATATAGCCACAACTTAATAAAGCTTCGATCAATGCAATAATCCCCTCATGGCTGTCACAAGCCGCACACTCCAAATTAATTGGATTTATCGAACGTGCACTTTTACTTCAAGCCATGAAAGACAATTTATGAAAGTCACATTATTCAGCCGCTGGAATTGGCAAAGCAGTCTTTAAAAGACTCATTTAATGAAGTGACTTGGAGTATGCTTGTCATTCAGAAATCAAGGCAATTTTTTTGGGTCCTATGAGAAAAAAGCATCCAGAGGAATGAGAAAGAATGTAAAGTAGAAACTGGCACTTTGGGGGAATTTCTCCTGCTTCTATTGGCAGATAACGTCTCTCAGTTACAATGTAGTGGAGAAGGATGCAGGAGAAGCCTGATATCTAGATTCAGACCCCTTCGGGTAACAGACACACTGCTGAAATAAAAGTGAATTAGTCTGACTTAACAGACGATATAGACGTGGTTAACCGCTTATAGTTCTTGTGTGACCCATTTTGTTCGTATTAAGAACCAGAGCGTACTAAACTGTGGTCAGCCATCTGACTCAGCCTCCCCCCCCTTAGGTCAGCTGTTGATTTCACACTCTATAAGCCCACAGTAGAGGCCTGGCTCCTCACTCAAATAACCTATGGAACAAGTTGCTGTTTACACCTGATGATCTGCTGCTGATGCTCAGTCAGAGCCAACAATTTCATGGTCTGGATCCACGAGAAGAAACGTATTAAAGATGATATCTAGTCAGGGATGCATCCACACCTGCGCTCTCCCTGGAGAGGTTTACCAGGTACAGCAGCTGCGTGTTTTGCTACAAATGTTAGAAGTTGCGATCAGCCTCATTCTGTCAAACAAGGAGGCCACTGGATCTATCTAGTGTACCTTTTTCAGTTTCTGAGGATGTTTTGTTGAAAAACTGGTTAACCTCAATCTGTCATTTTTGTGTTGTTTTTAATTTATCAAATGCACAGTGCTTTCAGTGTTTCCTGGTCCAGGTCAGTCTAACTTTATCTTTACAAAAAGGGTGGGTTTTTTTGAAGCGCAAAAATGCTATTAAGTCAAAATATGATATGAAGTTAAATTAGTTTTGCTATGATTTGCTATGAACACATTTTTGCTTTTTGTAACTTGATTTTACTCTTTTGGCAAAAAGGTAGAAAATTTATTATAGTGGAAGAATAAGTCATTTTTTATTTGCAGTCAAGATGGTAAAAAAATGTAATTAGATTTTATTTGAAATCTTTATAATTATCCAAGAATGTATCAAACCATCATTCAGAGAAAATGCACTGTAGAACTTTTACTCTAATATATATTGTATTTAAGAGTTAAATTAGTGTTGTATAAGCTTGACGTAAAGAAGTAATGTGTGAGATTTTGTAAATTTTCTGTGCAAAATCTGAACCTGCAAAGTTGCAGTGATTATAAAACAGAAGTTGATCTTGGTAAGTGGCACACAGCAACAAGAAATAAAAATACTCATAAAATGATTTTGTTGGAAAAGCTGTGCAACTAAAAGCTAAACGTGAAAGGTTCAAAATGTAGGGACTTCAAATCCCTCCTTTGGTTACTATGGCAACAAATCCTTGACACAATGGTTTTATTGTAACAAACAACGTCAGTGTCGTGTTTTTCTTTTTTTTCCCTTGAGACGGATCATTGTGCTTACTACCTTGGCCTTTGCTCACTTTGTCTTTTGTAAATACGTTAACTGTTAAATGCCAGATGCCATCATGGTAAAAAACAAAAAACAAAAAAAATTCTACTAACACATGAATATCTTGATATAACTGTCTCTTGTGTTTATGAAAAGCTTTCACGGACCTTGAACTTCCTTTTATCTCCCCCTACAGATGACTGAGGGCAAACTGTGCCAAGTGCACTTATTGGATGACAGGAAGCTAGAGCTGCTGGTTCAGGTACAAAAAACTAAAATCAATAGTTTTTGTAATAATTAAAATGGATCCAAGAATTCTGTGATTTATATGCATAATGTTAAAAGGACGTTGGGTAATCACCTATGCTTACTGCAGTTCCAATTAGCTCACTGGAGTGCTTTATCATCTTAACGTAGTGAGTAGAAGCTGAACATAATGAAGCATTTAGCAGCTGGAAAGCTGAATATTTTTCTCCTACGCTTTTGAAGCTAAAATTTGAAATAGTGTTTAAGGTAATGACAAGTGGACTTATATAGTACAGGTGGCCCAAAAGAGTCACAACTGTCAACTAAAGTTTTCCTTAAAAAGTAATGACATATCAAAGGTGTGTTCACAACTTATTTTCCGCTGCCCCCAAGTGGACGAACTCCAATTTATTGCATGTTCCCTGAGCAGTTGGACTCCCTCTTTAGCTAAATGAGCTAGGTGTCTGTACTGTGAAAACATCCAGGGCATAGCAAATGCAGGGTTCCTCAGGATTGTGGTTTGATACCCAGGTCTGGATGTCAGTGTCCTTGCGAAATTGTGTGTAAACCACTATGAGTGGTCAGTAAGACCAAGAAGGTGCCATATAGACGCTGTCTATTTACCATTAAATAGTATATTGTCTCGTCAGCACTATTCTATTCTTTTCTTTTAAAAATTGTGTATAATTTTGATTAAAGTAGTTGTTTATATCTACGACTTCCTTCTCAGCCGAAGCTTCTGTCTTATGAACTCCTTGACTTGGTTTCCTCCCACTTCAACCTCAAAGAGAAGGAATTTTTTGGTCTGGCCTTTTTTGATGACAAGTATGTAAATTGCAGTGTTTATTTTTTTTTCAGTGATATGGATATTTTTACACGTGTGCAAGTGTATGTTGGCAGATGATTACAAAGCGCAGCTTTCTGATGTTACAGTTTGTTTACTTTTGCAGTGGCCAGTGTAAGTGGTTGCAGATGGACCGCAGAGTCCTTGATCACGACTTTTCAAAGAAGCCCGGGCCCATTGCCCTGAATTTCTTGGTCAGGTAAGAAATTCTTGTTTCATGCAGAACCCAGGTTCTCCAGCAGGGTGCAGTACTTTGTTAACGTTGCGTTTTATAGTTTAGTCAAGAAACTAACCAGAGATTTTTATAGAACTCATTTGTGATAAAGCTGATGGTATAAATCAGTGTTTGGAAAGTCTTTGACTGTCTTTTATGGGTTTTTTTTTGTGTGTATGCATTTGATTTCACCTTTCATAGGTTTTATGTGGAAAACATAACACAACTTAAAGATATCATAACAGTGGAGCTGTTCTACCTGAATGCCAAATCTGCTGTCTACAGTGTAAGTGCTTTCTCTTATTTTTCCTCGATTTTGAAACATAGCAAAATGATCCTGCTATTTTCATCACAGCTTGTGATGATTCATTGTCTCTGGACCCTCAGCTCAGCAGACAATAGCTGTAGGGCACACTTTTCTTACTCTGCTAGCTGGAATGTAAAACAGACAGCGTGAGAGAGTAGGATAATACAGGGGCTGATTTGAAGAATAAGCAGAGGCTACAGTAGGGCAACGCAGAGCAGATTCTATGTTTGGATCTGGAAAGCTTTCTCTCCACAGGCTTCCACTTCTGAATCATATTTATTTATTTATTTTTGTTTGTCTATTATGTCTCTCAGGGGATTATTGAAGTGGAAAGTGATAACGTCTTCAAATTAGCTGCAAATGCCTTGCAGGTTAGTGCTTTTAATAGCCTCGTAAACATGCATTAATTGCCACATCTAAAAGCATGCCATCTAATAAGATGTATGATCTGTTCATCACCAGGAGGCTAAAGGAGACTATACAAGGTAAGAGCATCATCATCAGCTGGTTAAGAAGTATTTAACAGCAGCAGGAGGAGTTAATAGTAAGCTCTTAGCGAAGACATTCAATAGGTCACTTGTTTCTCCAGTGCAGACAACAAAAATCAATAGCAGTGTTATGTGAGGCTCACCACATAGTGCTGAGCAGCTAGCACCAGGCAACTAATGAATCTCAGAGTGCTGATAGAAGCTAAGTATTGCAGAGTAGATACACCTTTACGATGTACACAGTAACGGATAGCTGTGTTTAACTGTGGTGGCTTTTGCTATTATACTTGGTGCTTTCAGAGGTAATACTGCATGTTATTGTGCATGTTGGCACTGGTTTTGGTCAGCTGATGAAGTATGATGGTGTAGAAATATTTCTTCATGTCAGTATGTTCTGTATCATAGTTGCTGCTAAGGCCACAGCTGTTTCTGAGGACACAGTGGTTATATGTTCACTATTTCCTCTGGGATTTAGGGTGGATTTAACTTTTAGGGCAAATTTCATACTCACTTTAAAATCTTGACATGGGTATTGGGAATATAGTATTTTCTAGGTAGATCCCAATATATTTAGAGCTATTTTGAAATTTTGCTTTGTAGATTAAAATAAATTATATACATAAATATCACCAAAAACAAAAATCAAAAACACCACCGCGTTCACATCCTGTACTAGAATAAAAGTGATACAGTGAGAGGTGTTAGGAAGATTCACTACTACTTATGTCAAGATTTTTAAATCAACTTCCGAAACAGTTACATTTTTCTTCTTTTCCGTTTTAGTGATGAAAACACTCGAGCTGATTTGAAGAAACTGCCTACTCTTCCCACCAAAGTACTCAAGGAACACCCATCTCTTGCATACTGGTAAGTTCACAGGAAATCATGTTTTTACATTCAGCAACAAAGTGCATAAAGCCCGTAAACAGACAAAATACTGTAAGACATTAGTAAAATCTTAAGTTTACAGGTAATAAAAGCTTCATATTCTCATTTTGGACTCTACCTTTGCATGATCCTTGTATACATTATACTGGGCCTATATGGACACTACTGGGTCATCGTTATGTCTGAAAAAAATCAATTTTAGCTCCTCTCTGTTTAAGGTCTTCTTTCCTTTAAGCAAGCTTTCTTCTGATTGGCTACGCCTCACAAACAGAAGAACAGGAGTTGGGTGGGGCTCCAGGGTTCTCAGCCAGAGCTGTGTGCCTGAAATGACCATATTACGGATATCCGCTGTAACTTATGTCATATAGAGCCACAGCCAAAAGTCTGAAACTGTGTTTATGTATGCTAATATATAGCATATAGTATACATGCCAACACTGTTAAATATAAGCATCCAATACAGAACATGATAATAAACATAATAACTCTCCTTTAATTAATTTGAATATGTAAAGAAACTTGTAGAATACCATATATACTTGTCTTTTAACAATCAGTTGATCAATTACATTATAACAATTTGTTTACACCTCAATTTATCTTTCCCCGGCTAACTATATTGCCTTCTCATTTATGCAACATTACAGTGAGGATCGAGTTATTGAATATTATAAGCAGCTGAAAGGTGTTTCTCGAGGACAGGCCATTGTGCAGTAAGTAATTAAATTGTGTTGCTACACGAGTAAGAGGAAGACAGTGAATCTTTTTAGGCTTTAAATTCATTAATCTTACTCTCACCTCCATTAGCCCTCTCCCCATCCCTTTCCCTCTCTGGCACGCCTTTTCTCATCATCTGATAGAAATCAATAGCTCCCCTTCAGTTGCAGCGAGATCACACTGATTCACTAAACAGAGATCAGATTCCCACATTTGAGATGTTCAAAAGCAGCTGGAAGTTTGAATAAATGTTTTTTGTTCCAGGTATTTGACGTTGGTGGAATCACTGCCAACTTATGGCGTCCATTATTATGAGGTTAAGGTAGGCCTTTTTGTGATTAATATGACATGACAGCTGTTGCACCTGGAACTGTGTCAACCATAGGAGCTCTGTTCTTGCCTTACAGGATAAACAGGGGATCCCATGGTGGCTTGGAATCAGCTATAAGGGCATTGGCCAGTATGATCTCCAGGATAAATTAAAACCTCGGAAGGTAAACACTCCCTGGAGCTCGATCTTTAAAATGGCTGCTGCTTTTTCTCTGCTCCACTAATCTGACTGTGAACATGATAGCACAAGGCATGTGTAAGGACTGCTGCTGTTGCACACGGCGTGTTAATTCACGCATCATCTGTTTCACTCGAGCAAAAGGCTGAGCTTCAGCTGTGCCAGACAAGGCTAGACTTGAAAAGAAAAAGAGCAAACTCTCGGTGTAGATTAGGCTGTCACTTATCCTTAATGAGGTTAGTGAGTTTTGAATAACTCTCTGGAGAATCATGGAGACAGTGCGAACTTGCTTTTCCCGTTTCATTGGTATTGTTTTAGCTGTGGGTTGACAGGAGAAACACCCATATGAGTGATTTGTCAGCTATGTCTTCCACTAGGTGACTTCAGTGCATCCCAGTGCAGCGGGATGCAGACATGCACCAAACTGCTATTACGATAGAATGTGAAGGTTTAGTGCAATTTGCATTAAATCACTAGCAATGCCTTCCTGTTAAATCTCTGTATTGCTCAACATGATGCAATCCATCACTGCCTGATGCATTGCAAAACTGTGCAAGCTGACAGCTGCAGGGTGTGCTTTCGAGAGGGAAAGAGGGTGTCAGCTCGTGATGTCAAAGAAAGAAGGGGTTGGATTTGGGCGTTAGCCTGCATGTTCGCAGAATACCTGAGGAGACAAGTTAGGAGCTGACAGGAAGACAGTACAAACTATGTTTTTGTATTGACAGCAAAGCCAGGGAAGACTTAATAACTTTACACACAGGACGTGTAAGGATCTATTATTCTGGTAAGGCTAAATACTACACGTCTTTGTCTTGCCAACTTTGAATGTATTTTATGACTTAAATATTTATCACCCTTTGAAATGATTTGGTTTACGCAAACCTGAGCGGACAAAACTCTGTGTAAGCTTTTGTTTGTGTCTCATTCGGATCTTGTCCAGACGTACAGTGAGTCAGAAACCTAAATGGATTGATCATATTAAGCTGTTGTCAGTGAGCACCTGGTTGATAGGGGGATGGAAATGATGAGTGTTTATATGACGACCCCTTATGGTATTCTTCTCTCTCCAACACCTGTATTATTGCAGACTTTGCATGCCAGGTAGACAAGACTTTAATCACAGTTTATGTTACAGTCTGGCTTTTTAATAACTGTGGGTGAAACAGACTTGAGAAAACACCTGCTCAACATAGTTTTTTTGATATTAGTCATGACCATCATGGTTATCGTGTTCTAGGTGTTTTTGGAAAAAGAAATACATGAAGAATTTTTTTTATATGAAGGTACAACTAGACATTACTCTGTGCATTATCCAAACATCCAAGGTGCTATATTTCAGAGTGTGAACAACACATATGCTTTTCTCTCATTGGGAATGGTTTTTTGTGTTTTTACCACCAGCTGTACCAGTGGAAGCAGCTGGAAAACTTGTACTTCCGTGAGAAAAAGTTTGCCGTAGAAGTTAATGATCCACACAGGTGAGCAGCGGGGGATCCTCGTGTAGAGATGCTTGTTGCTATTTTTACAATGACTGTTTTTACAAGTTGATTATTATGTTGTTTTCATTTTTGTTTAGCTCCTAACACTGATATCATCCATCTTTAGAACATGTATCTAAAAAAAAATCATCATTTTCACTGCTTTTAGTTTAACTGTGACCAAAAAAGCGTAATGTTTTCCGTGGTTTGTTTAGGAGAGCGGTAACCAAACGAACCTTTGGGCAGACGGGGCTACTCATCCACACGTGGTATGCAAGCCATTCTTTAATCAAGACCATTTGGGTCATGGCTATTAGTCAGCACCAGTTCTACTTGGACAGAAAGCAAAGCAAAGTAAGTGTCAGCTATGAGTCACTGCACGTTTTTATTGCTCTTTGTTTTACATTGTTTTCTTTATTCTTGTAGGCTAAACTCGGAACAACAAGAATTTTAGAGGAAATTGCAATGGACCTCACAGAGCATGGAGGGGCGAAAATAAACAGACTGGGTGATGTGGGCCTTAAGAATAACTTCATAACAGCCAGCAATGGGAGTTTGGTATCTACAGGTTGGTTATAATTATTTTATATGAGAAAGCACATTTCTGTGTAACTTGTTTGTATGGTTTTACATGTAAAACTGTAACTTCAGATCAGATTTATCGTCACAAAGAGCTATAAACATTCAGCTGAATGAGATTTAAAAAGAACAGGTGACACGTGAAGGAGTCACACAGTACACATGCCATGGGTGTGATTTTTATGTTAATGGGTGTGTTAGGCTATGTTGGCAATTTCAGTTAGAATTCTGTTTTTCCAGGTTCAGTAGACTCTGAAATGAGTGAAGAGCAAAAGAAGGAAAAACTCACTGAACTAAGAAAAAAGGAACAGGAGATTCAAGATATTTTGGCTAAGAAAACAAAAGAGCTGAAGAAGATCTGCCTGAGAGAGGCGGTGAGAAATCATTTTGTGCTACAGTTATATCGGTCTATTTTTTCTCAAAAACTCCCTTTAATAAACCGCTGCTCTGCCGCTGGTAGATTAATTGTTTCTGTTGTTGCATTCACCTCATCTAAGTGTCCGGAGGATTTGTTGTTTTGTGCTTTCAGGAGCTTACCGGCAAACTGCCAAAAGAGTATCCCCTTTCTTCAGGTGAAAGACCACCACAGGTCAGACGGCGAGTTGGCACTGCTTTCAAGTTAGATGACCTTTTTCCCTACAATGAGGTGCGTATTTAACGGCATTTTAAAGCATAAACAATTAGTGTATCTTTTTCAACGCTGTACGCTGAAATTGTTTCACTTTTAGATTTCATTTTTTAGATTTCTAATAATGTCAGCAAATTGCACAGAAAGATAACACCAATATTAACTGAGCGAGGAACGCAGCTAAAGTCTGATGGAGCTTAAGCTTTTCCTTGTAGCTTAGTTTTTTTTTCTCTACGTTATTACAAACCCAACTGCGTGTTACACATTGCAGTGGGTGACTCTGTTGTCTACACAGATACGCTATTTTAGTCTATTCTATTATTTTTTTAAATGAAATTATAATAAGGAAAACATCATCAGCAGTCAGAGCATTACACCTGCAGCGTTTTTTTAAATAATAATTTTAATTAGGTCGACCTGATATGAAACTCTAATTAGATCTATTCTGTAACATGTTCAGTGAGCACATGTATCAAATGGCAGTGATTACTAATTTACTTACATGTACCGGCTGAATATCTGAATGCTTGCTCTCTATTTTTATCTCTGGTTATCACCTACGTTTTCTGATTTATGCAGGATCCCATCCTGAGAAACCTGGAGAGCAGATTTGCCCTTCAGCAGAAGATTGTGGAGGCGGCTAAGAAGCTCGCAAATGAACCAGAACTGTGCAAAACTGTTAAGAAGAAAAGAAGGAGAAACTGTTTGGATGCTATGCATAAACTGCAACAGATAGAGGATGAGATGAACCAGTACAGAATCAAGAAGGGGAAAAAGCCCACACAACGGGCCTCAGTGATCATTGCAGGTACGTTGGAAGATATTTGTTACTGAATGTGTTAGATCGAGTCACAGCAAGCACAAAGTTGTTTTCTTGTCCTGCAGATGAACTCGTTCGTTCGAACTGCAGCTCTCTGTCTAGTCTCCCGTTGGATGATGGTGAGTCAGACATTCTACAACACAGGTGATGCTTTCTTATTATGACCAAACCCAGAAAACAGGAGTGTCATTTTTTTGTCACCGTGTTTGTAATCAGATGATTCAGACAGTCTCAGTCAAAGGCCACGCTCACGGTCAGTCCAAGGATCCCCTCAACTAAGTCCAATGCGATCACTGGGAGCAGAATTTGATTTGGAGAGACAGGCATCTCCACGGGATAATCACCACAAGAACCACAACAGGTTGGGATTTTCTGTTCAAACTGTTTGTTGCCTGTGTGAGTCATAGAGTGGAATCTAATTTGTTTTACAGCCTTATATTTTATTTAAAGCTGTTTTCAGAATGAGCAGATGACATCATGCATCGGTAGAGCCCATAGTATTTGTTGTGTCATGTTTGCCTCATTCCTTTCCTCACATTTTTTTACTTCCTTTTTTTTTTAAATCCTGTTTTGATACTGCACCCATTTAGATTAGCTGTTGATGGCCAGGAGGCTTCCAATTACTACCAGAATCCAAGAGAGGTCTCCTCCACCCACAGTAGTCCCTATAAAACCCTTCCCAGACCTCCTAGAGATCCTCGCAGCATGCCTCCCACCCCGGTTATGACCCGCAATGCCTACAGCAGCAGTCAGCTCAGGTGTGATCTTTGTTCCCCTGCCCTGCCAAGCCAGTGTTTATCCTTCTTTATTTTATTTAATCAAACCCTTGCTTCTTTTAATACCCTAACCTTCCACCATGCTTTCACATAAAACCTTAACTTTTATTTTAACACCTAAATCCAAAAATAATATCCCGTATCTTAATCGTGATCTTCTCAAAGACACTTTGAAATTGGTGTCATTTTCCCAGGTTGGAGGGATCTCCTCATTGCTTCAGGCATCGCAGTGGAAGTCTGGAGTCTCAGCCTCGGTTGAGAAAAGACAGAGATTCAGAGAAGCCCGTCTTTATCTTGTCACCAGCCCACCGCAGCAACAGCACAGAGGTATTAGAAGATTGCTCCTCTTACACGAGCCAGTCAAGTCTGGACTACTGCGGGGCTGCCAACTCCCACTACAGTACACTGGACTCCCGTACCTCAACCATGCATCGTCTTCACAGAAAAGTAGAAGTGTATGGTAATACTGGGAGCATGCCAAACTTGGTCCAGCACCATTCTGGTTGTAGTTATTCATGTGAGGCCTCACCACACTATGCACCCAGTGCCTACTATGTTGCCGGCTACCCCTGTCCGGACATGGAGCCTTATGCTAATGGTGCCTATGTATATGAGAATGAAGTCGAAGGCCACTACAACGTCAACCCATCCTACCAAATGAATGGGTATCACGGACATGACAGATTCAGGCACTACAGCAGTGATGGGGCGGATAATCTTTCCCAGAATCCATACGCAACAGTGAGGCCACCACGGACCAGAGAGGGGCCTAGAAATGAGCTCTTGGCCAAGAACATGCAGAAGGCCCTGGTTGCAGAGCACCTGAGAGGCTGGTACCACCGAAACAGAGGCCACAGGGAAGGAGGGAGGGGATTACTGGCTGGATATGACTTTGACAGTGGCTCTCAGCTCAGCTTGGGATATCAGACCATGCCGGCGGCCTTCAGCCACTCGAGCCGAGCCACCTCTTTCTCTTCAGGTACAGTCAAACGCATTAGCGTGAGGGGAACTGTCAATAATAAAATAAAAATCATTTTCAATGTTTATAATTTAGGGAAACATTAGGCTGCTGTTCAGGTTTAATAACATAAAAAAAAAATCATAATTACAAGTTAATTGGTCATGTTCTGTAGTGTCACTGATGTTAGGATGTGTAGGCTGCTTTCCTACTCACCGGATTTTTAATTATGTGTTGTTTGTGTATATTTGAGGGGTTTCATTTATTCTATCACAGGGTTTTCTAGGCTGCCATGTGAGAAATAGACCCAGTTTGTGGGTTTAAAGATATACATTCATAAACTAACAAAGTAATAAGTATCACATAGTATTTTGTGTGAGTGAAATACTATAGTTTTTGAGGCTTTTGAGACATTGTGCACTCCAGCGTTATTTGAGTGTTCATGCTTTTCTCTTCTTTTCAGTTTCCTCAGCAGAGAGCACAGGGAACTGGCGCAACCAGCTGGCAGTCGGCCTGACAGAGTTTGATGCACCTGACACACCTCAGTACCCTCATCCTGGAGCTTCAGCATCCCTGTACAACCGCAGTCCCACACATAACAGGTGAATGCTTCAGTTCACTGAATCTCCACACTGAGGCTATGGTTATAAATAAAGTCAATAGGTTGCAGTCAGACAGTCATAATCATTGGATTAAACTAAAATGCTGATTGTTACTTTCTTAACACAATGGTAGGCGGGTACCCTGCCGCTCCTCTACATCTGGATGATACATGTATTTTTCTGCATTCTTTTGCTTTTCTTTTAAAGAGCGGTTTTATTTTATGATTGTATTCTGCCAGCGTGATCTGTTCTCCTTCCTCTCGTTACTTGGCTTATGCTCTACGCTCATGTGTGCAGAAATTCTCCAGAAAACAAAGAGTCTGACACAATGCCCCAAAAATGTGAGTCAGTAGATGTGGTTGGCGCTGAGGCAACTAGTGCAGCTGAACCATCAGACAACCTTTCTAGCACTTAAGGGTGAGACCAAACACAGCGGGCCACTTTGTGTCGTGTTGCCAGTCGTCTCCATTCCGACATCCCGTCGTCATCCATGTTATTCGTGTACAGCTCATTCATATCATCTATTTTTTTTACACTGTGTTTTGCTGTTTTTGAGGCTCCATTTTTTCAAAAATGCATCAGTCATCATGATCAAGGCCATGCACCTAATATATCAAGGCAAAAAGGATTATTACATGTTTAGATACATAATAAAACTACCCGAATGCAGAAAACAGAAATTCAGTCTTTTTGTAGCAGTGAAGGAAACTCGGGAGATAAAAGCTTAGCAAGCCTTATCAAGATGAGATTATGAACATCTGAAAGGCAGTCCATCCTAACAGCTGAGATATTTAAGTCTGGACAAAAGTGACCAAACAACCAATACTGTCTCTCCTAAAGTTATATTGCCAGAGTGAAAAGGCCTTGCCATTTACTCCATAAATGGCCTGCATTTCCATAAAGCCCTGGTCATGTTGTATGCCTTCAAAAATATGGTGGACTTTAAAGTGCTATGTATTTCCATTTCCATCCATCAGCTTTATTTAAAATGTCAGCCTTGTTTCTTGTTCTCAAATAACTACTACAGTGGATCTTACCTAGTCTTGTGTTATTGCCTGTACAGATTTTACCTTGATGGGAGCTACATGAGCATCCACTGAAGAGGACCAAACCAAACTGTGGCACAAATAAAGCCATAGCCAGCAGCACATGAAGGGAATGGAGTGGAAACGCAGGCTTTACACAAATGTTTTTGGCTGCCATAACCTCGTCTTTGAAGGTGTTTTCTCGTTTTGGTTGTGGCAGAGAGGTGTAAACCGTCCTCATGTTGTCGTAATCTCTAAACACAGTGATGACACTCTTGAATGATTTTCCCATGTGCCTTGGATTGGATGAATTGTACAGGCAGATGAGAATGTGTCAAGAAACTTTAAAATGTTGCACAACCACACTGGATTCAAACCGTACTGTGTATTAAAAGATAACAAAGCTAACAAACGTGTTTTTACTCAATCCACCACCATGTGTTTTAACAGAAACTAGCTACTGCCTTATACAAATCAGTAGGTTATAGAATAAAAACAAAAAACAATTGCCACTTTTCTCTCATGATAAATGATAAAACTCATCTTAAATATAACATCGATATTGAAGGCAAAGCTTGGGCATGTTTACAAGTGTGACATGACAAAAGCTGGGTTAATCATCATTAGAACAGGCTGTGTATTTAATGACGCTCCATTTCTTTAAATCAGAATGTATCATGTCAATATTGTTTATAGAACCATTAGTCTTTGTTAGTGCTTTATTGTGTTTTAAAATGCATGGTGAGAAAATTGATTTTTTTTTTTTTATTAAAAAAAACAAAAACAAAGTTCAGACTTTTTTATATTAACAGAAGACCACTGCCATAAAACATATCCATTTCTCATTGTTTTCTCACACATTTGTACAGTCAGTGTGTAGTTACATGTTGTTAGATGTTGTCATAAAATATTTTCCACTCAAATAAAAGGTGAATAAACATATGTGTGACACAAATATGCCTGCTGTCACTTTCTTTGTGAAGCTTGCACAGTTCTTAATGGTTGAGTTCTGCTAAGAACACCAAGAATCATAAGGAGACTAATCCCAGCCTCTTATCTGTCCAACAAACATAGACTAAAACCAGGCTGTTAGCTAACTGCAAATCAGCTAGCCAGAAAATATTTGTATCCCAGCACTTGTAAAGATTGGTAATTACTTTCATCGTTATTATTGAGATAGTTAACTAGCTCAACATTTTGAGTAAATTTTAGAAATTTTGAGTTAGTAAGCTAAAAAGCTGATATTTAAAGATATTAACCCAACATTTGCTTGAGTGGGATAAACATTTTTTTCCTTACAATAGAAAAAGTGCCCATTCAAAAGTGTACAAACAACAAAGGACTCCTCAATAAAGAAGATAACTGCAAATCTTCACTCTGAAAGGAGTTTTTATGTTTACGTGTGGATGAAAGGCGAAAATGTATAGAAAAATATACTACCTAACGGTGGGTTAGGTGTATACAAGGCCTAAAGTGATTGTGATAATGAACCCCTGAAAACAAGCTAACTCTTTTGGCTCATGGTTTGTTTGTTGTGTAACTCTGGGAGGAGCTCTGTTTGCATGGGACATGTTAGCCCTCCCGCTAGGCCTGTAAAAACATCCCACCTGCTGCAGTCAATCCAGCGTTTTCCTTTTGCCTGAAGCAACTGTCATCTCAAAAGATTGTGATGACCAGGGCAGCTGGCAGAAGGGTCTGAAAAAAGAATGTTAGCATGTCTTTCCCCTGTTGGTACCGTAAATATCTTCCATGTAGTTCACTGGGTTTATTTTAGTCCGTGAGGCAGGATCAAACGGTTTCTAGCTAAAGTCAAAGTCAGAGGCTTCCCAGTTTGCTCTGTGTTGAGTCAGAGATTGGATAAAAAGTTGTTTTTTGCCTTGATATCGACAGGAAAACACAACTTTAAAACTTCAGTGCAAATATGTCTAACGGCAGAGACCTTGAGGATCTCAATGAAGAGGACATTGATGAGGATGAAATCCTTGCAATGCTTTCGCCTGAGGAGCTTAAGGAGCTTCAGAGTGAGATGGATGTTATTATTGCACCAGACGAGAGTGTCCCAGTAGGACAGAGACAGAAGGACCAGACAGAAAAACCTCCGACAGGGACGTTTGACCACAGATCCCTAGTTGATTACCTCTACTGGGAGAAAGAGTCTAAACGTATGCTGGAGGAAGAAAGAGTGCCTGCTACTCTCCTGCCCAGTGAGGTAAGAGATAACTCTAGCAAAGGTTCATGTACAATTCAGTTTTTGGTGCATACCATTAATGTCATAGTTCTAATCTTAATGTCCTAATGTACTGTTTAGAAAACCTTGAGGGAGGAATCTGAAAAGAAAGAAAAAGAAGAAAACGCAGGATGTGGCAAATATGAGGTGTATGAAGTGATAGAGGAAGTCACTGAAGAAGAAGCTGCAGATTGTGAAAATGGAGAGGAAATTATAGAGGAGATTATTGAGGAAATTGTTGAAGAAGTTGATGAGAGAGATGAAAAGGACAAAATAATAGATGTGGGAAAAGAGACAGAAACGAAGCAACTTGCTGAAGTCCAACCTGAAAATGCAGGTGAACACGCAGAGCCTCTGGATATCACAGAAAAAGCACCAGGAAAAAATACAACTGACAGCCAGCCTTTTTCAGACACAAAGGAGACTACTGAGACCTTAGCTCTGAAACACAACACTGAAGAGAAAGAAGGAAATAAAAGTACAAAATGTTTGCCTCCCCAAGAGGCTCCAGAGGAGCCAGAAACAGTCGAGCCCAATGAGAAGCTTCCAGAGAAAGAAGAGAGAAAAATAGGTAAACTGAAAATTCCGAAGCTTTCACTCAATAATATAAAAATTACATCAAGACCTTCAGGAAATGATACAAACTTGGAGTCGACACTTGATAAGATCCGCAAAAACAACCCCTCTATCACTGAGGTAAACCTCAACAATATAGAAAACATTCCCAAAGAGATGCTCGTGGACTATGTCAACGCCCTGAAGAAGAATAAATATGTTAAAACATTCAGTTTGGCCAACACTGGTGTCGATGAAAATATTGCTTTCAATCTAGCCAACATGCTACGAGAGAATCGCAGCATTACGACTTTAAACATTGAGTCAAACTTCATAACTGGCAAAGGCATCGTTGCCATCATTCGCTGCCTCCAGTTCAATGAGACTCTCACAGAGCTGCGTTTTCACAACCAGAGGCATATGCTAGGTCATCATGCAGAGATGGAAATCTCTCGCTTGCTCAAGGCCAACAACACCCTTCTGAAGATGGGCTACCACTTTGAACAGCCAGGGCCCAGGATGGTAGTGACCAACATTTTAACAAGGAATCTGGACCGTCAGAGGCAGCTGAGGAAGGAAGAGCAGAGGCAGCAACAGCTAAAGCAGCAGAGGGAGCTGATGCAGATGTATGAGAGCAGTCTCAATCTACCTCCTGGTTTACTTGAGATGCTGGGATACATACCACCCATAGAATTCCTACAGGAGCATGGACTTGCCCCACCCTCATCAGAGCTGAATGCTGATGTGCAAACACAACACCAGACAGAACAACCAGAGCCCCAGAAGAAGATCAAACACAAAAGCATTCCCAAACAACCCAGTGATGAACCAGCAAACCCATTAAAGGATGTCCAGCTGAGGAGAACTCCTAAAAAACGGGATCCTTTATTCGAGCTGGACCCAAGAGATGATAGAAGATCAGAGAGGGCAAGCTTTCAACTGAGGAAGACTCCCAAAGTGAAGGATACAGGCAGTGCAGGGAATGAGGATGAAACGGCCAACCTGACTGACGTGATCAAGTCTTTAAAACCTGTCCCTCGCAGACGATTACCTCCAAAGGTTGACGTCACACCTCGTGATCAGCTCCTAAATGATATCAAAAAGAGCAACGTGGCTTATCTCAAATCTGTGAGTACCTTAGAATCAGTATTACCTGAAATTACATTTTTTTAATTGCTCAAAAAGTGGAACAGTGTTCAAGCTCACAAAACAGACGAGCATTTATCATAACACTTTCATTTTTTGAAGGTGTTTTAATAGAGCATGATTGTCCTAAAAAGCAAACTAAACCTGCTGTTCTTTTCCTTTGTTGCTTCTCACAGGTGCCTCTCCCTAAAGCCCTGGAATCAAGTGAAACGAGTCTCCTGTAAGGCGCTGCTGTTTCTTCACCATAGTATTTGTTTTTATTACACATGCTCAGTATTAGTCACTTCAAATGAACAGTACAAATTGCTACTGAACTTTAATTACCTAGAGAAAAATACTGGTTAGTTCTGTTTTATTTCAATACGTGATATAGTCTTCGCAAAGTCACAGCAATTAAAAACACTGACTACAGCCAAATATCGTGTATTAATTCTACAGTAAAGCGTGTTAACCTTTCATAATTTGAAAGCTCTTCTGAATACAGTGCATGGTTAAGAAAAAAAAGTGTATTCACACAGTATTTGTTCATGATGTCTACATATACAACAATTTCTCTAATCTTTGTGCTTAAAATGAATTAGCAAGCGTGTCTGATTAAATGTTTGTGACTTAATCATTTTGCTATTAAAAAATATAAACCTTCCACTCTTTGCTGGGGGATGTTTTTTTTTAATTAATTCAACATCACTGGTCACTGTAGAGGTGCCATTAGCTGTAACGCACATCCATCCCGAGGGAATCATTTTTTCATCCTGAAATGAGTGCTGGATATAGCAAAAAAAAATTACCCATATAATCTGTGTAGTAAATTCATGCCTCCCAGACAGTTTATTTAAATGATATATAAATCTGCAAAGGTTTTATTTCCCCCACTAATCTGCCATTCAGTAGTCGTTTTTCTCTCTCTTTTTTCAGTAAAACCCTACAGTATACTTTTTGTTTTAGATTTATCTGGAACAAAGTCTGCAACATAAGGTACTTTGCAAAGGCCATTTATTTGAATATAACAAAAATGCCAAAATTAACACAGTTTGAGCTGATCATCTACTAACTGTAAGGTCGGTAGTTCAATCTCTGGCTGCTCAAGGCTGCATGACAAAGTGTCCTTGGAGAGGACACCGAACCACAACTTACTCTCAGATGTGTTCATCATAGTGTCAATGTGAAAGAAAAAATAACTTAGGTATAGCAAAGAAGTTTGTATGAATATGATGAATAGTAAATTGTATTAAGTGCTTCGAGTGCTCCTGCAGAGTAGAAAAGCACTATATAAGAACCAGTCTATTATCATTAATTATCAAAAACAATAAGTTTGTTTCAAATTGTGCAAGCAGAGGATGAAAGAAGAAGTGGGAAGCTGAAAAAAAACTGTCTACAACAGCATGCAAAATTCATGTTCTTAAGAGATTCGGGGGAAAATCCAGGCAAGTCCTGACAGAGGAACTGAGACATTCATGTGGCCGTTCAGTTGATCCATCTGCTGTTTGCTGAAGCATCATCAGATATCTTCTGCGTGGAAGGGTGGATGTCAAGAAGTCTTAAATAAGGGAGACAGGGAGAAAAGGCTGAGATATGCAAAATTACACGAGAACTGGACTACAAACCAGTGGAAAAACATCTTGTGCAGTGAATCTAAATTTGAAATTTGGTTCAAATCACTTTCAATGTCTACAGGGTGGGGGTGGGAGGGGGCACAACCATGGCTGTCTACAGCTATCTGTAAAACATGGAGTCATGGTTCAGTGCTGCATTTCAGCCAGTGATGTTGGGGTGATCTTGTCAAATTTGATTACATTTTGAATGCAGGAAAGTACAGTACTGTCAGGTTTTGATCCACTATACATTACCACGTGGAAAGCATCTGATTGGCAACAGCTTAATTTTTTATCACAACAATATTTCCAAACACACCACCAATGTAGCAAAAACACACCTTGATAGGAAAACACACAGGAGATCAGTACCAGACATGATTTGGCCTCTCCAGAGCTCAGACCTCAGCATTAGTGAAGCCATGTGGGATCATCTTGACAGAAAACAGAACAAAAGGCAGCCAACATCCAAAGAAGAACTTTGGATGGATGTCCCACAAGAAGCCTGGAGATCTAATCCTGAAGACTACTTAATGAAAAACCTTTCATTTTGCCTGTGTTCAGGCATCATAAAGAAAAAAAAATGGAGACTCTGTTTTTACCTCATATGCTGTATTTGTTTGATGTTTGCACATTTCATGGAATTGCTTCACCCACTTCTTATTTTCCCAGCAAAATATAGATACGAGCGATGGCTTGAGACTTTTGCACAGTACTGTAAATCAAAGTACATTTATTTTTTATAGAGGACAGCCAAATTTTATTTCTATTCATCACTTTTTAAGAATGGAAATGTCACCATAAACATATAACACACACATATAATGCTGCATCCAAAACCAATTAAAAATGAACTGACATTTGAGTAGGTAGCAGTACAAACTGTGTTCAGTGTGCATTTCTGAACAGAAATGGGAAAAAATAAATATCAGTATAAAATAATAATTATTGTAACTTTTTTCAGAATTCCATGAGATGTTGACTAATGAACAGGGAAATGTGCTAAAAGTCAGTTGTAAATTTATTTTTTAAAATACATTTCTGCATGCTAAAATAATGACACATCAGAAATAACAAAAATATACATAACATATACTCAAACGATAAAGCTGCACTTGCCATTCATTTTTCCGTATTGCATAGCTGTGAACAGAGGGGATACACTCAGGCCACCCTGTACAGTCAGAAACTGTATGCACAAATCTTGTGACAAATCGAATATCCACACTGCATTATTATTTTGAGTTAGGACAAGTGACAATGTCTATGCAAGAAGCAAACTTTTATTCAGCATTCATAAAGCTCCTGCAATGACAAAATTGGAGTTATTGCGGTTTAATAAGCAGTTCACTTGGTGGCAGCGGTGCGTTTTGGTGATCTGGGTCTACTCGGTGAGAATAAAGATAAACGTGCTCATTTTGAGGTAGCAAACTGAAAGGAAATGAATTTTTTTTTTTTTGAACAAATATAACTGGTATCTAATCACTGTTTATTCAGCTTGAACATTCTATTTTATTTGGATTGAATAAATACTTGATTACTATGTAGAACAAAGTGCACTGTCAACGATGACGTGTCTGTGGACATATTTTGACACAGGAATGCTAAAAACTTTGATCCCAACATCCAATCCATACAATGATTGTGCGAACCCTGTTATAATGACATGATTCACCTTTACCCCTTAGATATTGTGAACTCACACAAACATGTAAGAGCATATATTAAACTAAAATGGGTAAAAAAAAAAAAAGTGGGAATGAGGAAAAAAAAATCTGTAACTTTATTATTATTATAAGGGGCTTAAACTGGAACTCATCAGACAATTCTACAGAAACTTTAATCCATACTGTATGACACTGATTTCTTTTGGCACACTCTTGGCTGCACTCTTACTCCTTCAGTTTGCTTTCAATGAAATCCTGAATCTTATTAATTTTCTCCTCTTGTTGGTCCAGGAGATCCATGATGATGCCCATGGGGGTCTTCTTTAGCCCAACACCTTCAATCTTGTTCTCCAGCCTGTTTTTCATGTTGCGAAGTCTCAAAGAGGCATGGATCAAGATTACTACGGGAAAAACAAGAGCAGCCTATTAATATTGTTCCAGTAAGGAGGGGATAGAATACATTTAAGTATAGCAAGGTTAATGTTTTTACTGAAACACATGTTGAAAATTGCCAAAACAAAATGTGATACTCCTGAAAACTCCTTTTATTTCCATGTCAGACAGATACTGTATGCATGACATCAGCTAGTAAATGTGGTCCTGTCAACAACCCATAGCAACGAGTCAACACAAGCAGCAGTGGGCACTCCTCCTGGGAAGAATCAAACTGCCTCATCTGTCTGCCACAATGTTAGAGCTGCTACATTTGCTCGAGGAACCTAACCCGCCAATTATCTGAACCACTCTGCTGATGGTCAGAGTCTAAAAATATTTAGAGAGAAGTAGCCTGTAATACTGACTTTATTTTACAATCAGCGTAAACAGGAAATGCGCATCAGCAATTCTGCACATACTGTTCAAATGCTTCAGTGAGTCATCGCCAGTCTCCCTGGCAGTTTTCATTGCATAACATTAGCCAGATGTTATCAATATACTATAGGGAACGGTCTCAAGTCTGTACAAGTTGCGAAGTTCCAAAAGGTTCTTAATGTAACAAAGTTAGCAGATGTTTCCCTTTCAAATGTCAAGAAACTGTGAGTGAACCAAAGAAAATTCCAAGCTTGATTAATCAGAATCTGAATACTTTTATAATCCCTAATGAATGATTTTATGAGGAAAACTGCTCTATTAATGATATTAATTATCATAGAATGAGTCATTATTTTTTATATAAAATGACTAAGAGCGCAATTAATTCCAATATTATAAATTACAGGATATACTGTGTTTTATTTTTAAAGTGAGTAACCAGTGTAACAGATAAAATCAGGTTAATATTAGAAAGAAATTCACAATATCTTTATTGGGAAGATTTTAAGGGAGAATACAGATTTCAATCAGAGCTACTCCTAATAGCCAGAATTTTTCTGTTGTAGATACACTAACAAATATTCTTAGATATACAGCAGTCAGGCATAACATTATGACCACCTGGCTAATAGCATTTGCTGATCTGTTGAGGCCCTGACTTTAGGCCCTGAAGGTGTGTTATGGTATCTGGCACCAGGTGTTTGCAACAGATCCGTTAAGTCCTGTAAGTTTTGACGTGGGGCCTTCATGGATTTGACTTAATTGTCCAGCACATCCCACAGATACTCAACCGGATTGATATCTGGGGAATTTAGATTCCAAGTCAACACCAAACTTGTTGTTATGCTCTTCAAAGGTTTCCTGAACTACTTTTGCCCTATGGCAGGGCTCATTTTCCTGCGGGAAGAGGCCACAGCCACAAAGGAATACCATTTTCATGAAAGGGTGTACATGGTCTACAGTAGTAGCTTCTTTACCTTACAGTAGTAGTGGACATGTTGATGTTCATTCATGAGATTCAAGCCTTATTATGGGGAATGTAAGAGCATTATCACCATAGAAATCTTGTGACAAGTGAGGTGAAACCATGCGCTCACTGGCTAATGCCTTTTGATCGACAAGTTATTGGCCAGTCAGCATATCCTGGATGTGCTTCCTTTCCTTTCTTAGAATGCCCCATGGAGCAAAAAGCAGGTGACTTGTGAGTCTTTTGAATTTCAGTACTGATGCTCTCTCTGCTACATGTGCTGAAAGTATTAGTAACCACTGAATTTGGAGCACATTCTGCTGGACAAACTGTTTAATGAAACTATTTCTAATTAACCCCAAGCTAAAACAAAAATAATAATTAACTGACGCTATAATCAAAAAGTAGTGTACTCATAGTGTTGTGCTGGGTGTTGAGAAATTATCCAACATGGTGAATATCAAAATGAATGGAAAATGCTTGAGTAATATACTTACAGAGCAAAGGAAAGGTGATTCCAAAGATGAAGACCATGACTCCACCACAGAGTGAAAGCAGAAAGTAGCTGGTGACCATGACACCAATGACAAACAGAGTGGGGTTCTTC